CGCCCCCCACCCCCCCCCTCGGGGTCTCAGGCCTGGAGGGCTCAAGTTCTCCATCACCCCTGTGCCTCTCCCCCCAACCCCGCAGCCCCACCTCTGCTCCAGAGGAGCTGGAAGTCACTGGGCAGAGCTGAGCCATGACCACGAGCCCCCGGGTCTGGGGTGCTCCCTGCGCCCACAGGTGCACCCCGTGTCCGAGGCTCCCTGTCAATGCCCTGAAATTGTGGTGGGGTGGCCTTCTGAGGGGTGTCGGCCCTGGCCCCCTCTCCCTGCCCGGCTCTGCACCATCTCCCGCTCCCCCAAACTCCCGCTTCCTTGGTTCCCCGAGGAGGCGATGACATCATCTCTCCAGGCCCGAGCTGACCTACATCCCTCCCCCTCCGCTCCGGGCGGCTCTCCAAACGCCCGCCCCTCACCGCGAGGAGGGAGGGCCCGGCTCACGATTCTCACGGAGCAGTGGTGCCAGGCCCGTGTCCAGATGGCACTCCTGCCGGCAGCTCCCGGGCACCGCCTGCCCCTCCCCGCAGGCCTGGCACACACCCGCCTGGCACCTGCCGGTGCCAGAGGGATAGAGAGTTAGAAACATCGATGAGAGAGAAACATTGATCAGCTGCCTCCTGCACACTCCCCACTGGGGATGTGCCCGCAACCAAGGTACATGCCCTTGACCGGAATCGAACCTGGGACCCTTGAGTCCACAGGCTGATGCTCTATCCACTGAGCCAAACCGGTTAGGGCTGATGTTGTATTTTAGATAAAGAACTAATTTTTTAGTATAAGTGTGTCTCGTGGGATGTACTTACACTAAAAATCTTATCAGTTGCTGTGGAATTCACATTTAGCCAGGCATTCTATATCTTTATTTTTTATTGAAAGAGAGAGAAGGAAAAGAGAGAGAGAGAGAGAGAGACATCAACTTGTTGTTCCACGTGTGTATGCATTCATTGGCTGATTCTTGTATGTGCCCTGACGGGGGATTGAACCCCTAACCTTGGTGAATCCGGACGATGCTCTAACCCACTGAGCTACCTGGCCAGGGCCCTATATTCTCATTTGCTGAATCTGGCAACTACAGTGACAGGAGAAGTGACTCTAAGAGGGGTCATGTAGACGCCGAGAGCCCGCTGTGTGCCAGGCAGCGTGCTGGGCACGTACAAACAAGCAAGTGGCCGAGGTGAAAGTCTGAGGCACAGTTCCACCTTCCGGTTTGCGATGGGAAGGTCTGAGGCCCAGGGAAGGGACTTGCTCAAGGTCACCCAGCACGTCTGCAGCGGGGCCTGGCTGCTGGCTTAGCATCCACCTCTCTCTCACCCCTCCGCCCCCCGACTGTTACCATCTCGAGTGAAAGGCATGGGATTCTGAGACGGGTGGGGGGGATGGGGGGGGGCAGCAGCCCTGAGCTGGCCGGCCTCGCAGGCCCCTCTGCTCATGGTTGAAGGTGCTCCTGATGGATGAGCCCGAAGCGCTGAGTCGCGGGGTCCGGGCTCAGGTGCCGGTTTCTGGTGAGACTGACGGCTCTCGGGGGTCAGGTTCAGGAAGCAGTTCCTGGGGAAACGGATCCCATGGGTGCAGGGATGTGGGAAAGGTCTGGGCTGGAGGTGCAGCCAGGAGTCAGACCACCCCCCAGGCCTGGACGGGGCGGAGCTGGGGCTGTGAGGTCCTAGGCCGGCCACTGGATCGGGAAGCAGGGCCGTGGGCGGCAGGCCTAGGAGGGTCTGCCTCAGCACCCCCTCCCCCGAGCTTCATCACCCAGGTGGAACCCACATAAGGCACCGCTGGGGGTGGGGGCGGGAGTGGGGCAGCTGGACTCCCCCTGGGAGAGAGGCCGGGGGAGGGGCTGGCCAGCATGCGGG